AGGGAAAGTGAGAAGAAAGTATGTGCTTTCCTCTTTCCAGTGCTGGAACCCAGGGCCTCCAGCACGCTAGGTGTGGTGGTTTGAATATGTTTAGCCTAAGGAGTTGGTACTATTAGGAGGTATGGCCTTGTTGCAATAGGTATGGCCTTCTTGGAGGAAGTGTGTCATTGGGGGGGATGCTTTTAAGACCCTTCTTCAAGCTACACGGGAGTCAATCTTCTGTTTGCCTTTTGAACAAGATGTAGAACTCTCAGCTCCTCCAGCACCAGGCCTTCGTGTACACTGCCATTCTCCCACCTTGATGACACTGGACTGAACCTCTGAACCTATAAGCCAGCCCCAATTAAATGCTGTTCTTCTAAGAGTTGCTGTGTATGCGTTCGTGCGTGCGTGCATGTGTGTGTGTCTCTGTGTGTGTGTGCGCGTGTGTGTGCACCCGCTCGAGCACGCATTCACACAAACATAAATGCAGATACCTAGGGAGGCCAGCCTCTCCTGGAGCAGAGTTGCAGCAGTCGTGAGCTGCAGACCTGGGTGCTGGGGACTGAGCTCCAGGCCTCTGCAAGAGAAGTCGGTGCTGCTCTTAACCACTGAGCCATTGTCCCTTAACCCCACCCCTTGAATATTTTTTCTAAATTGAAAAATAAGTAAATAAATGAATAATAAGAAAGACTCATGGGCATCTAGAAAATTTAGAAAAGCATAACCCTGAAACTGGAGAGGACTTCCCAAAAGCAAAACAGAAAACAGGAGGCCACCAAGAAAAATGACACAAATCTAACTTCACAGACATTAAAACTCCTGCATAACTATGTGTGCGTGTGTGCGCACACACACACACACACACACACAAGAGTAGAAAGGGAAGACATTTGATTTGTTAACAACAGCTGAGTTAAAGTCCAGAACCTAGGCAGAGCTTCTTACATCGATGGAGGGCTGGGGTGGGGACGGTAAAGGAATCGACAAAGAAATTAGAGGAAACACAAGTTGATTTCTTAAATGTTAAGAGTAAATGTACAAGAATCTATTAGCATTTAAAATGCACACAACGAATGTTGTTCTCTGAGATTCAGAATAATCTTAAAATGTCATATGCAGACGTGGGTATTAAGTGTGCTCCAGTATTTGTTTTGAAAGGAAAGAACTGATACATATTGTTCCACCTGTGGGTGTATGGATTATCACTGAAAGAGAAGGCAAAAACTAGCAAAATTGGCTATATGTCAAAAAGGACAGGGAACAGGAGTGGGGTGCAGTTGTTACTTTATATAACTTCTATAATTTTGAATGTTGTGGGTTTTTTTTAACTCCATGACCTAACCCTAAACAAGTAATCTTACATGAGTAAGTTAATTAGATATCCTTTTCAACAGTCTTTCAGACCTCAATAGACAAAAGAGAACTCTTTAAATAACTCCACAAACTAGTGCAGTGATGCAGGCCTTTAATCTGGGCCCTTGGAAGGCAGACAGAGGTGGGTGGATCTCTGGGAGGTGGAGGCCAGCATGGTCCACACAATGAGTTTTTCAACAGGTAGAGCTACATAACAAGACCCTGTCTGGAAAAGGATAGATAGATAGATAGATAGATAGATAGATAGATAGATAGACGAACAGACGGACTGACTGTTTAAAATGTGCATTTCTTTAACCCACAAATTCTACTTCTAGAAATAATTCTTCCAGAAATATTCTAAATGTGATATAAAGAAAGATAGGCAGCTAGAGTAAGGGGAAACAAGTTAAGAGTCCATCAATAGGGAAATGTTTAAATAAACTATACTAAGTACACTATGAAGTACTATGTAGCCATTTAAAGGAATGAAGCTGCAGGGTGTGACCGCGTAAGTCCAGCACTTGGAGACAGAGGCAGGTGGATCTCCATGAGTTCAAGGCTAGCCAAGACTATACAGTGAGACCCTGTCTCAAAAAAGAAAAAAAAAAAGAAAGAAAGAAGAGAATTACTGAGATTGGATGATTTTTATGTCATATTGTTAGATCAAAACAGTAAATGATGGAAATTACATATCCCCATTTATGTATTACTATTTTTCAAAAGTATATTCAACTTATATACGGGTTGGTTCTAAAGTTGGACATGGAGATGATCTTATGATGTCTGTTATATACTGTTATATGACTAAGTCATATATTACATATCACCTGTATTTCCAGACATGGTAATACAGAAGCACTGAAAAGGACCTGGTAGGAGGGGCTGGAGAGATGATTCCCTCAGTAGAGTACTTGCCTTGAACATGAGGACCTGAGTCCAGACCCCCAGCACCCAGGTAAAAGTCTCATTCCCGCATCTTAATTCTGGTGCTGAAAATGAGGGGGTGGGGGAGAGGGAAGAAGGATCCCTGGAGCCCACTGGCCAGCCTAGAGGATTAGTTAAGCCCCAGGTTCAAAGAGAGATCCCAGACTCAGGAAAATTGGGTAAGGGAGACACTGTCTTCAGCACATAAATTGATCACGGTAAGTTACCCATGCTCCAGTAAGTACCATCCCCTGCCACACACACGCATGCAAACAACCTTAATCAGATGTCCAAAAATGATACGAAAGTAGAGAAGAGTTAGTTGGGGAAAAAAGGGTTCAATTAGAGAGGGAGGGGGGGAGAGAGGTAAGGGAGGAGTGTGGAGGGAGGGGGAAGAGAAGGGAGGGGGTAAGCAGAGTCAAAATCACTATTCACACTGTCAAAACATAAACAGTAAGATGTAGGAAAGTTATCAGCCTCTGGTTTCCACATGCACGTATACACACACACACACACACACACACACACACACACACACAGAGGGAGACAGAGACAGAGGGAGAGGACTTGGAAGGAAACACAGTTTTATATATGTTTCTATATTTTTTTAATCTTTTTAATCTTTCCTAATAACCCTTGGTTTTGAAAACTCATTGTATGTCAGAGAAGCTCTATCATTACATGCCCAGGGCATACACTGAAGAGGGCGGGGCCAGGCAGTACCTAGGGGCTAGGTACTGCAATTTATTCCCAGTCACCCAGGACTGCAGTATACAACAAACACAAACCAGAACAAAAGTGCAAATGTATCTCATCAGGATTTACACTTGACAGACTGAAGACTCCTTTGTTCATGTTCCCAGCATTTCCTGAACATATCTGCCATGCATGCTATTCATGTCACTGCCAGGCACAGAAAACAACCCAAGAAGCAGATCAAAAACTAGTTGAAAGTATTCCCTCTTGTGACAGGAGAAGGTTAGTAAAGGTTGAATAAAATGAAGTTCTGAGTCTTAAAGCCAACCCTTCCTCCAAATTGCAAAGCACACCGACACCGAAACTTTACCTTGTTAGGATTTTTGGTTTTTAAAATTCCCCCTTCAGGTCATGCTTTACAACATTTCCGGTAGACAGGTCTAACCTAGCCTGCATAGGTAGAAGATAACCAGTCAATTGGACACGCCATTCAGTTCTCTGCACGTTTAACACAAAATGAGTTTTGAGTTAAAAGAATTTTTTAAATGGATTTTTTCCCACAAAAATTTACAGCTGCCACAAAGCTCACAGCAGACAACAATGTGTTGGGGCCTTGTATGGGCAGCTGGCTGCTTCCTCCTGGGATGTCACTCTGTACATAACGCTGCTGAGCCAACCTGCCTGGCTTCCTGTACCCTGGCTTCCTGGCCATAGAGTGTGTGCCTTAGGACTCTACCTGAATAGCTGACACTTACAGAGGATGAAGTTCAGGCCCCAAACAGCACACACCCCCTCTGACCATTCCATGTTCCTTAGTCAGAGGACTCCTAGTGCACAAGGCTGCAACATAAATTTGGGGATGCAAGGTCTTGAACTTAGTCTCTAAACACTAAGCAGGTTTCTTTATGAGAAGATGTCTCTGCTCACTGCCATCTAATTGGCTCTGTAGGACAAAAAGTCCTGAGTCAAAGGACATCCCCCACCCCCAACCCCATGTGCAAAGCACTGCTCAGTCAGAAGACTCTAGTTCAGCCAGGAAGCAGAGACAGACAGATCGTGATGAGTTCAAGCCCCTCCTCTCTCACCCCTTCCACAGTGAGTTTCAGGACAGACAGGGCTTCATAGAGACCCTATCTCTAACAAAAACAAACAAGCAAACAAACAAACGAAAAATAGGGGACAGTGTTTCGAATTCCTGACTTTCAGTTCCTCACCCCTCACAGGACAATAATTGCAGTTCACAGGGCTGTTGTGTGAAGGGATTTAAAAGGTGAGTAGGAAAGCAGCTGTCGACACCTTAGAAGTGAAGGATATGGTGGGTGTAGGCTGGTGTAGAAAGAGGGGCTCTGGAAGAAGCTGGGTGAAGAATTTGTCCACATAAGCTGATGCCCCGCCTCCATTCTTCCTGGAGGGGCTGGGAAACGCCTATTTTCACCTGCTCTCAAGGTGACTGAAGTAAAATGCATTATACAGACAAATATCATCCATTTAGGAAAGCCGTGGCTCCAAGAGTCCAAGCTACAGCCCCAGGCAGGCTCTACCCAGAGGAGGTGGATTTGGAGGCTCCAGCAGCTAAGACAGTTTGACCTATCAGTATCCCCCACTGGACAGATCACCGAGCTCAGGTCCTTTTCCCTCCCAAACTGCACCTTTCTCCCTACCTAGCAGGGAGATCTAAATGGCAACATTTTGCAAAAGGGATGAAAGGTACGATAATGAAAAAGTAGAGTCTCAGAGTTGTGCTACCCAGAGATGCCAATGCCCAGCTGCAGTCACTGCGAAGCCGATGGCTCTGAAGCGCGATGGGTCATCCCAACATTGTCATGCCACATGCCTTTGTGCAAAGAGATGCACCCGGGTTTAAGCTCTTGGCCCAGTTGGTAAAGTGCTTCTCCCTAGCTCCAAAACCAACTGTATCTCCCTCTCACCGATCTGAGGGGCAGGGGAGCCCACCCCACAGCGCCGGGAGATTTCTGGGTGCGCCTCCCACCCTGGCTTTCGCACAGGACACACTGAGTCCTGACCAGGAGGATGTTACTCACCTGGTCCTCACGGATTCCAGCCAAGGGTCGTAGCTGCTGCGCCCCACACCCCCATTCCTGAGCCGGCCGCAGGGGGCGCGGCCCTCCTCGGCTGAGTCCGGGGCACGAACTGATGCTCTCCCTTCCCTGGAGGATGTGCAGAGGGGATCCGGAGAGATGGAAGGGGCTTGCACCCAGCAGAACCAGGTGGGCTTCTGAAAAGCCTCTGGCCGATTGGAGGGGCGCGCCCCACAGGCTCTTTCCACAAAGAGCTCCAAAGCCAGACGCAAAAGCGCCAGCTCCCCCAAAGCAAGGCGCGGTACAGCCCGGAACGAGACACGGACTGGGGAGTGGAGTGCCGGGAGAAGCGGAACGCCGAAGGAGCAGGGGGATCCGGGGACAGCGGGAGGGTGTGGGGAGCTGCAGAGCCAGCCGGGCCGGCGCCCAGCACAATGCCTTCAGCGCAGCTGCATCCCCGGGCAGCCCGTCCCACCCCGGCCTGCGCCCCCGAGCCCGGAGCTCACCGAAGCGCCGCGGCTGCTCAGGGCCCGGCCGCCTCCCCGCCGCTTCCTCCCTGCGCGCCGCGCCCGGGACGCGAGGTTTCGGGTTTCAGCCCGCGGAGCCCCGCTTCGCTCCTCCTGCCCGCAGCACGCGGCCCCCGGGCCCGGAGCAAGGCCGAGTAACTTTGCGGCGCTCGCGCTCCGCCTCCCGCTGCTCGCCCGCCTCCGTCGCCGCCCGGGCCGGCGCCCGGGTCCCGCGCCCCGGTATCCCGCGCCCCGCCCCGCTCTCCTCCCTCACGCCCCTTCCTCCGCCGCCTCCCCGCCCCTCCACTTCTTTCCCATTTCTTCCCACGAAGAACCTCGAGCAGCCTCGGCCGGCTGCTCTTTGTCTCGCCCTCACCGGCTCTGATCTGCCACTTTTCCCCTAGAAACCTTTTGTAGTCTATACTCAGGCCTCCTCTCTCCCGGTTCCAGTCTTTGAGACACCCGTTTCTATTTCTCTCTCCATCCCTCAAATACTTTCGGATTCTTCCTTCCTCACATCCCCCTATTCTCCTCCTCCCGTCTCAAGTTGGACTCTGGGCATCTTTTTCCATACCTTTCGTTCATCCAACCAACCACTGAGGGCATCTGTCTAGTGCCAGACTCGGTCCTGGACACTGGCAATACCACGGTAAATAACCCCAAACGGATCTTCTACAACACCTCTACTCCCTTTCTCAACAAAGGGGAAGGAAAAGCAGTGAGTAGGGCCTGCTTACTCAGAGGACGAGAGCGTCTCAGTCTTTCTTTCCTTCGTATTTCATACTCCTCCCGAGCAGCAATCTAAATAAGGAGATGAAAAACCTAAGCGAACAGTACAACTGCTAAGAAAAAATAATAAAGAAGAGTAAACGTGCCAGTATAATAATAATCAGATACGAAGTAATAAACCCGTTTGTTAAATTCCAGCGAAAATAAATAAAATGCTGATACTGGCCTAAGAGAGGTATTCAAATCCCTCTGAAATCCATCTGCTTGGATAAGTGCAATAATTATTCCCCCGTCTGTGGATTGACACTGTGGGAGCTGCCTCCTTGTTATTAGGCACCATTTAGAATAATAATTTACCAGTTACCACCTGCTAAACATACAGACTGCTTCAGGGAGCAAACGGGATAGTGCGGAGAAAAAGTAAACGGATGACTTACTATTCTGTGTGATTCGATGTTTTTATTTGGTCAAAACCTAGCTGAGCTCTTTTCAAAGTCTAGGTCATCCAGTCAACGCTTGAAGCCGCTTAAGTTAAACTGTTCTCAGCAGACTTTTAGACATTTATCCCAGCATCTTTGATTATTAATTTCATTTACATGGGATCAAACACCAATTAAGCTCTGTGATGCTGGGGAGTTAGCTAACCTTTTTGAGTCTCTGCTTGTTCTTATACAAAACGGGGAGGGTGAGGCGGGGGGGGGGGTGCGTACCTACTTATCTGTAGAGATGAGAAGGTTAAGTGAACAGACGGCTCAGTGGTTCAGAGCATCCACTGCTCCTCTAGAGGATCCAGATTTGAGTCCCAGAACCCACAGCAAGTGACTTGAAGCCACCTGTAACTCCAACTTCAGGGACATCCAACACCTCAAGCCTCTATGGGCATATGCACTCCTGTGCACATACCCAGCTCGGCACACATACACACACACGCACACAGATGCACGCACGCACACACATGCACAGACATGCACACGCGCTCATGAACACACAAATAATTTAAACCAATTTTAAAGTCTAAAGGGTAAAGGAAATGCTGTAAGTCTATCACCCAGAGCCATACGATCTGGAGACTAGGCTTTTCTGAAAGTTAACATTCAGGAAAGATATGAAACTATGTGTCACAGAGTGCCACCATGGCGGGAGTGAGAATTCAGAGCAACTGATTACAGCTTTTTTTTTTAAGCTCCTGTGCAAAAACTACCCTCCACCAAGCAAACTTGCCTCAGATTTACTCTTCATTTTGAATTTTTCAATGGAAATATTTTTTAATCCTGCTGCTTATTAGCTGATATATTATTTATCAGAAAGGTATTTTATGCATAACTCACAAACTCAGGACTTACTGTGCATTTGAGGATAGAAATTGCTGACAGCAAACACATTTTTTTTTATTGCTATCCTTAGGATTGTTTTGTGTTTTTCCCCTTCTGGAACTAATATTGAACTCTGAGCAGTTTCAGTCAGAAGTAGAAAAATCAGAAATTGTTATTGAAATGATTATTTTTTTTCTATCACTGTGTAGGTAACAGTTGTGTGCAAAAATGACGCTAATTTTGCTGCAAGAATATAATTTTCTTTTTTTTGCAAATAAAAAAACAGAACAGAGAGCGACATCACACACACATACAGACACAGAGACACAAATACAAACACAAAACAAACAAACCTTTCCCCAGTTGGATTTTTATTTGTTTGTTTCTTTGTTTGTTGTTTTGATTGATTGATTGATTGGTTGATTGATTAGAGGGTTAAGGGGATTTTGAGAAGGTTGTTTTGGTATTGTTTTTTTCAAGACAGGGTTTCTTTGTGCAGCCCTGGCTGTCCTTGCTCTGTAGACCAGGCTGGCCTCAGACACATCGATCCACCTGCCTCTGCCTCTCCAGTGCGGGATTAAAGGCATGCACCACCACCACTGCCTGGCTTCCCTAGTTGGTTTTATGAACCACTCTTTTTAGAACCCTCAGAAGATTTCTGAGTTAAACTGAGAGGCCTCATCCTAATGAATCCCAATGCTTCCTGAAGAACTCTCATCTAATGAGGCATTTTAAAATAAAATATCCATTCAACCCATCTGTCTACATAAAGCTGGTAAAAGTAAGACGGTGACTCATGGTGTATGGACCACAGGGAACATTACTGCCCTGTTCTTCATATGCACCCTTCTACCCTCAGGCTTGGCTGAAGTGTCCCCTCTTCCCAGAAGTCTTCTCTGGACAAGACTTTCAAACGCTCTGTGTCACTTTTCTTATATAGAACGTACAACAGGCCAGCATGTTGTACATACATAGCAAATTCCAAGCCAGGCAGAGCTACATAGTAACACCATGTCTAGAAAAAGGAGGGGGAGGGAGTAAAAACAATACATCTCTCCATTTATCTGTAATTTTTCTATCTATTTTCTTTCTTTCTTCTTACAATTTCTTTATTATTTATTTTGTGCTTGTGTGCACATGTGCTGCTGCCAGTTGTGAAGGTCACAGGACAAGCCACTGAAGACACCTCTCTCCTCCCACCATGTGTGTCTAAGAAGTCAAACTCCAGTGGCCAGATCTGGCCACAGGCACCTTTACTGCTGAGCTTAACGAGGTCTCCATTGGCTTGTCAACCAGTAAATATAAACGCTCCACAGGAACGGGTATCTCATGGAGTGGAACAGAGAGATTTGTTGTTCGTCAATATAAGACCAGGGCTCAGCCTGAGAAAACATTCAAAATAGGCAATAGCTGTGGTGATGGTTCAGTGGTTAAAGTGCTGGCCCCAAGCCAAGCATAAAGGCACATACCTTTTCCATTTAAAAAAAAAAAAGATTTATTTATCTATTTTATTTATGAGTACACTGTCGCTGTCTTCAGACACACCAGAATAGGGCATCCAATCTCATTACTGATGGTTGTGAGCCACCATGTGGTTGCTGGGATTTGAACTCAGGACCTCTGGAAGAGCAGTAAGTGCTCTTAACCGCTGAGCCATCTGTGTGGTCCTGGCTGTCCTGGAACTCACTCTGTAGACCAGGCTGGCCTCAAACTCAGAAATCCGCCTGCCTCAGACACATACCTTGAATCACAGCAGGTGGATCTCTGTGAGTTTAAAGCCTGCCTGGTCTACAGAGTCTGTTCTAAGACAGCCAGAGCCACATAGTGAGATCCTATCTCAAACAAATAAACTAAAACAAAACCAAAAACATTTCTGGCCCCTCAAGCAAGCAGGAGGACCAAATTTAGATCCCAAAACAGATGGAAAGGTCAGGTGAGTGAGGTGGCCTGTAATTGCAGTCTCAAAAGTCAGGAATGGGAATTCCCAAGGAAGCTGGCTAACTATTAGGTTGGTGAGCTGTGGGTTTAATTGAGAAGGCACACACACATTGCACAAGCACTCATACATTCTCCATCCAGGGATCTTTGAGGAACTCCTGTCTCTTGCTAAAAGAGCTCTCATTTTTAAAATGGACAAAGAAATCTCTCCAAAGAAGGTAAATATACGGCCAATGAGCACACAGAAAGCTCCTTGCCATTATTAGTCATGAGGAAAAAGCAAATCATAACAACAATGGCATTCCATTTTCCACCCACTAGGATGGCTGTAATGAGCAAGACAATAACAAGCGTTACACAAGCCGCGATGGAACCTGGGCACTTGCTCTCTACAGATGCTGCAGCAAACAGTTTGGCTGTTCTTCAAAAATGTCACATATAAGGCTATCACACAGCCCTGGGATTCCTTATCTAGGCATCTATGCAAGATATGTAATGTATATTATATTGGGTGTAATATACATTATATATGAATGTAAAAGCACTCAATGTGTATTACATGGAATGCAATATACAATGTAAGTGAGTGGAAAAGCATG